TCATGCTAAGAGATAACCCCATCTTCACCCCTTTCAGGCTGTTGCGCTCCCTACTGGCTGCTGCCGTATGTCAGTAAAGGTCATCAAGTACCCGATACCCATTTAAAGTGAATTTTTGATTTATGTACCTTTTGAAGTGAAGGGTTTTAATATTAGTTCTTATTGGACCAAAGAGCAAAAAGTAAAACAAGTACAGAACACAATAATGTGCATATAATCATAGAAATCCCCTGTTCAAACTTTTATTTTCAGGCAAGTGATCCTGATTTTATGAATTTACACACCACATTATAGCACATTATCTAATCTGTGACAGGTGAATTGCCTGTGGTCCTACCTTTGTGAAAGACATGGATTTGACTTGTGGCTAATGTGTTGTTTTTTTTCCCTTTTTAATTGTTGTGCACCAACAGGCAAGTACAGATGTTAGTTGTACCTTGATACATACTGATACACCACTTTTAAGTTCATCTGTGGTGAGCCCAGATATGGTATTTGTGTCATTTCTTATTAATACTGTGGTAAAATGCAGATTACACAAGAAATTTTACAGGTTGAAAAATAGAACTGAAAGGTAACGGCAGAGGTCACTTGTGCAAATACTAATGACATGCATGATAATTATCTCTGTATAGTTGAAAGACTGGTTTTGTCAGCCTCTTCTACATTCACAAAAGAAACAAACATGTTAGCTTTATTTATCTTTAGGTTAAGCAATATTTGTATTCATGGCTGTTTCCATATTAATTTATTGTAAAATAAGTCAACTTGAATCTGTCATGTAGGTAGAATGAGGCAAATATTGACAGAGGGCAGAACTCCCAGAATATTAGCACAGACCATCTCAGATGTAATCATCAGTGCCTCCATTACTTGATTCTTTTCTTGAAGAATCCATCCATTGTAGCAGTTGTGTGTTTTGTCAAGCCATGTGAATTATTCTCCCTTGCACCTTTATAAGGTACATACAGTGGGTACGGAAAGTATTCAGACCCCCTTAAATTTTTCACTCTTTGTTATATTGCAGCCATATGCTAAAATCATTTAAGTTCATTTTTTTCCTCATTAATGTACACACAGCACCCCATATTGACAGAAAAACACAGAATTTGACATTTTTGCCAGGTTTTAACTTGAAGATACTGGTGAGGACATGTTGAGTTCACCAGAGTCACTTTTATCACTGACTTTATCAACCCAGTGCCTCTATGTTACTTTCTGCCAGCTTGGTTGAGCTTGTGAAATGTCTTGTGAAAGGGGCTTTACTCAGGATTTCTGTTCTTACACAGGACCTTTCCTTTTTCAGTGTGGTAACTGCTTGACGGACCGGCCTGACAACAACACAGGGACACCCTCCTGTCACAGACATAAGTATGGGAGCGAAGGTCAGACATCCTCCCATTTCTTCCTCCAGCACTTCATGAATGAAATCCCTCCCTGCTGAGCGGTGAGTCCCGGATATCGTTTAGATTAAGTCTGCAGTCCTCCATGTATTCTCACTTGTGTTTGTTTTATAATTGATTTATTCATCCACTTTTCTTTCAATAATAAACTATTTAATGTGCAATTCCTGTGAGTTCCTGTGATGAAAGATTCATACTGTCGATTTTTAGTTTTCACCTACACTTTAAAAGTCTTCATCTGAAAGCACTGGTTTGGTTGGCGCAGTAAAAACAACATTTTCCTGTCTGGTTTTCTAATATAAAATATGAAGAATATTTAATTTGACTGATGAGGGTCATTATTATAAAGATAGTGTTTTTGTTTGTTTGGTAAGTACATGTTAAGTACATCTTGTCAGTCAGAATGAAATATCCTGATGTAGAGTACTTTGAAAAGTGCACTCATATGTCATCATAAACCACATTATTATGATTTACCATTTAGATTCATTCTGAAGATGTTAGATATTACCAGGCATCTGAGGAAAAGTACAACCGGGTCATGTACAAACAAATGTTTTCTTTTTCACAGATTTGACACCACATAAAAAAGAAGACAGTTAAAAAAAGGGGAAGTGGCAAATTTACTGAATCTCAAAACTCAAAACTGCTTTGTGTGGTCACACAGCTTTCTCCTTCCCATTTTTATTCAACCACCAAACCTACAACTGCTTTTAAGAGAAGCACATTAAATCACATTTTTGACCATCTTTCCCACATTTTCACACCGACTCATCTATCTGGGTGAAACAGACCAAAATGCCACTGAAGCAAAATGACATGTTAAACATGACGACCAACGTTTACCATCCAACCTGACAGCACTGGAGAGGATCTGCAAGGAGGAATGGCAGAGGATCCCCAAATGCAGGTGTGAAAAACTTGTTGCATCATTCCCAAAAAGACTCATGGCTGTATTAGCTCAAAAGGGTGCTTCTACTAAATACTGAGCAAAGGGTCTGAATACTTATGACCATGTGATATTTCAGTTTTTCTTTTTTAATAAATCTGCAAAAATGTCAAAAATTCTGTGTTTTTCTGTCAATATGGGGTGCTGTGTGTACATTAATGAGGAAAAAATGAACTTAAATGATTTTAGCATATGGCTGCAATATAACAAAGAGTGAAAAATTTAAAGGGGTCTGAATACTTTCCGTACCCATTGTATATGCTGTTTAGTGGAATCCAGATTAGTTCACCATAACTAGCAACTGCAAACCAGGAAATGAGTCATTAATACCTCTCTCACAGACAAATCTGAACATTATCATCTTTGTAAAGGAAACATTTATGGCTGGGCTGGATGGATTTAACTGATGTCTAATTATTATATGATGTTAAAATTGTACATACTGTAGACATCTTTTTAAATATGCTTACTGTGCAGTGGTCAGCCTTTTACTGTCAGTACAATGTTTCCACAAAGTCATTACAGGTTCGGGGTCAACACGTGTAGTGTGCGCTGCAAACATTGCGTAAGTTTATTAAGTAGCCACAAAGAAAGTGTGTGCTTCAGCATGTTCCATTGACCACAGCAGTACTGCAAGCCTTTGCACATCCACAGTTCCAGAACACCTAATAGAACAACAGACAAGGACTGTGATGCAGCAGCCTCAAATCCTAGACCCCTCCCATCCCCCAACACCATCACCTCTCCACTGAGCCCCCCCAAACACACCCATGTAGTTCAATGTGAATGAGTCATGTGACTTTTGGTCCTCCAGCTGAAGTGCATTTGTTCTCTGTTGATTGTGTTAAAGAATTCTGCCTCCATCAACAGAAATGTGGAGGGGATAACTTTTTGGAGCTCAGCCTAGGGCTTCCTCTTTGACTCTTTGATCACTCCTGGCTTACAATCTCTCTGTCTTTCCCTGAAGAAAGACAGATACTTAAGAGAGTTCATTTATCCTGAGGAATTGAGGTAAGTTGATGTCGGGTCTTTTGTTAATGGCTACTGCTACTAAAATGTTAAAATCAGGGAGTAAACATAATGAAGCAGAATCCATATCATGGCACACTATCCAGTGAGTGTGTGTCTCACAGGTGAGCCAAGAAGGCCTTCACTATGTGATAATGACAAACCCTCACTACTTCTGTAGATCATGCCTTTTTAAATGCATGTTAGGTTTGTCATTGTTGTTTTTAATATCATTTTAAGCATTATCCATAGATTTGTTTTTACTTAATACATGGTAATTTGTCAATTTCATTCCAAACTTGAGATTCAAGATTAACTGCTTCCTTTTCTAGGTACAGATAAATCTATGGTATTCAGACTTTCCATTCCAGAGTGTGAATAATGTGTTAACATCAGCTTTTTTTTACTGATATAGGTTAATTGTGGTTGGACTAAAATGTCAATAGTTGTGACTTGTTTAACTGCAGTGGTATAAAAAACAAACCCAGAGAGACAGCACATCTTACTGTGAGCTGACGGGCATGATTACTCTGTCCAGCTCTCATGAACAGTTCTTTTTTTGTTGTTACAACTAACTGCCTAGTTAAGTAATATGCGTTCATCAATATAACGCCATGTTAAAGCTAGTCTAACTTCAGGTAGCATCTCTCTTAAATGAGAAAGTGCAAATGTTGTAGAATAGTGTAGACACAGAAATAACACAAATAGCTGAGCTGATGACACATTTCTGATCAATATAGAAGCAAGTCACTTCTATTAAGACGTGTACTAGTAAATATTTAACGCTGTTGCTAGGAGCTAAAGTAATAGGGGAAACTGGTGCCAAGAAGAATGCTGGTTTAAGGCCCCAGTCCTCCTGGGCAATAAAAGCTAAATGACTGCTTATTCTGTTTCACCTGCTGGGCAGCAGAACAGCAGTCTGACTGCACTTGAAGCTTAAAGTTGTGTATAGGCTTTTACTGCCTCTGGATCTACTCCTACTGTCCATTCCTGTCTCCTTTATCCTTGTGGCTCCTAAACTCTGGAACTCTCTCCTAATGGGATTAAGATCTGTGGACACTGGAGAAATGGCCTTTGAGTAGTGATCTCACTGTGTTGTGATTTTTGTAGTGATTGTATTAGGTTCTATGTTTTATGAAGAGATTACTATTTTATAGGATATAGCCTATAGTTGTTTTTACTTGTGTGCCAATCTAGAAAGGTGCTATATAAATAGACTTACTTTACCAATGAATAAATGCTAAAACTAAAGCTACCAATGCTTTCTTAGAAAATTAACTTCACTACTACATCTCTGATATTTCTCTTTTCTTTTTGCACAGTGCACAAAGCCTCAACTGCTGTCATAGTTACTCATGATGTATAGCTTCATGGGAGGGGGGCTGTTTTGTGCCATTGTGGGCAATATCCTGTTGGTGGTCTCCACAGCCACAGACTATTGGATGCAGTACCGTCTGTCTGGCAGCTTTGCCCATCAGGGCTTGTGGAGGCAGTGCATGTCTGGCAAGTGCTACATGCACACTGACAGCACTGGTAAGTGATACAGTATCTTCTTAGGGCCTTAAATATTCCTTGTGGGTCTGAGGCATCACAAAACTCCACAGAATCCAGGTCTACTTACAGTATGAATACAAGGATGATTATATTGATTGCTCTTACTTTTGAGGTAGAGTCACTATCAAGATTTTTAGGTGACTTTCTAAGGATGTGATTTTTACACAGGTACACTAGAATGGCAGTAAAAATATTCACAATTTTCATTTAACAAGACTAGAGTCTATAACCATGTTGGTGGCTCTGTGAGGCTGCACTTAGCAGTGTTTTGAAGTGTTTTGATATGAGTTAATGTCATCCAGTTAAGTCAGTCACAGTGATTATGCTAGGATGCTGATGCCTAACAGGTATTATATTTACCATGTTCAGCTACTTATTTTAGCATGTTAGCAGGATTAAATGTGCTACTTACCACAAAGTGTAGTGTTACTGATTTGCAGGTATTTGCTCATACGTCAAAGTACTAGACAAATTGTTTTTAAAAATGATGACATTAGATGTCAAGAGGTCACCCAAATCATTAGGATCTTAGAGTAGGCATGGATAGGCAGTCCATCATAGTCTTTGAGATACAGTATTTTAGTCTGAACCAAAGACTAACTAATACTGTTCATTGTCGTTTCCTGCAACTGTTGCTGTAACAAGTGAATTTCCTCCTTTGGGATCTGTAAAGTTTTATCCTATCTTAATTCATTTTGGAAATGAACTGCTCATATCAATATTAATGACTTCTGTTCATCCTGTTGCACGTCTTTACGCCGTTTTCTTTTGTTTTACTGCTCAGCCTACTGGAATACCACATGTGCTTTTATGATCCTCTCTGCCATGTCATGCTTTGCTGGCATCATCGCAGGAATCCTTTCCTTTGCCAACTTCTCAACTTTTGAGAGGTTCAACCGCTCATTCGCTGCAGGGATCATGTTTTTTGTTTCAAGTGAGTAATGGACACAGTAACCAAACAATGTCATTGTAATTTAGCTTTGAAGCTTTGAAAATTGCATTCACCATGAATTTACATATCATGTAAATCTTGGACAAAGTTTGCTAGGCCTGTCTAAAGGAGTAAATCAGATTACTCATATGAATTTTAATGTGTCACCCTCTTCCCACAATGCCAGTGCTATTTGTTCTGCTTGCAATGGCCATTTACACTGGGGTGACGGTGAACTTTCTGGGCAAGCGTTTTGGTGACTGGCGCTTCTCTTGGTCCTACATACTAGGCTGGGTGGCACTGCTCATGAACTTCTTTGCAGGTTTGTTCACAGTAAGAAATGCGTCCGAGTTCAGTGTAATTACTGTATTATGCTGATAGTAAACAAAGTCTGAGGAAAATAGTTACATTCAAATTTAATTTGAATTTCTTTGAACAGCCATGCATGTTCATAAAATCACATGCTCCAACACAGACGCATTTAAATTTTTTTAACAGTTTATTTACACTCATCCTTGAAGTTACTACAATTACTGTTACATCAGCTTTAGTCATGAAATGCCCTCTACATATTTTCAAACTTACACATCAGTAAACTTTATAACCACCAGAAAAATAAAACAGTCTTGCCCTCAAAAAACTAGTTTTCTGTAAAACAATTTGTTATTGTGCCATTATTTTGTACTTGGCAGGTTTATATTCTGTAGAAATGTGGTAATTAACACCATGCCACTTTAAAGCTGACTTATGTTTTGTGTTGCAGGTATATTCTACATCTGTGCCTACAGAACGCATGAGTGCAGAAGAGTGGCCGGCCCACGCTAAAGGAAATAATGTGTCAACGGTGCAAAAGATGTCTTCCCATTAAAAAATTTGGAACTTGCTGTAAAATAATAAATTTGGAATTTTGCATATGCATAAAAAGTGTTTTGAGGTTTTGTCATAAAATGGTCTACAGTAAAATGAGCACAGTCACATTATATCATATGTTAAGGGTCTGACACATGGCTTTATAAATATAAAGAATGATGAAATGGGCATGGATCAGGTAACAACAACCATTAAAGCATTCTTTAAAAATGTACACTGTGATATAATGTCTGAAATATGGAAAAAACTCTGATGCTGGATATGTACATCCATACACAGTATTATGAAAACAGTGTTATTCTTAGCCAGAACTGTTTACTTGTTGTATTTCTGTATCTTTGACTCTAAGCTTCCTGAAAATGGACTTTTCTCCAGTGCAGTGGAAGGTGGAGGAGGAAAAGTAGAAGATGATGGGATCAAGACAGGTGTTGAAGGTGCTGAGCAGCAAGACGTAGTACCTCCAGGATGGGCTTTTACCCTGGAAGTAGCCCACTACATGAGAGAGGTTGTATGGCACCACACAAATGAGAAACACAGCTAGTGTCCCTAAGGCCATGCCAATGGCCTTCTGCTTCAGCATACAGGATATCCTGGGGCGATTGTACAGGATCCAGATGCAGCGCAAATAGCAGTAAACACAAATTAGAAGAGGTACAAAGCAGAACACAAAAAAAGTCTCCAAACGTACTGGGAGGAGGACCTCCAACTGCTTGTCTGTGAAGTTCTCATAGCAAATACTGGAGTTTTGACTGGACAGGGATGGGTGGTGCTGGGTGATAACAATGATGCTGCATTGCGCTGCTGATATTAACCAGCTAATAGCAGAGATCACTATTGCATACACAGGTTTGTGCATCTGTTGATAGATGATTGGGAAAGCTACTCCAATGTAGCGAACCACACTGACTGCTGTCAGAAGTAGGGTGCTGGTGAAGATGCTGAAGAAGAAGGTAAAAGAGGTGATGGAGCATAAGATGTAGGGCAGATTCCATTTCATGCCCGATGCTGCTTCATGCATCTTGAAAGGAAGGATGCTCAAGAAGAGCAGGTCAGACACAGTCAGATTGAGGAGCAGGATGTTTATTGGCCGTGGCTTGGAATGGATCTTCATGCTAAAGGCGCAGAGAGCCAGGAGGTTCGCTGGCAGGCCTATCAGGAAGGAAATGATGTAAACTGACAGAATGACCTCACTGCTCACTGTTGACTCCATTAGACCCTAAACCAAAGGAAGTGAACAAACACCATCAAAATGTACTGTATGTAGTAAAACGTTTGTACCAGTGAAAATGATTTTTGACTTTTTCGATAAGTGAAGTCTGTATGCATGGCAAAGCCAAAATATGAAGCATGTAGCTTGTTTCTACTATCTAATAAACACAAAGCATAAGGAAATATAATTGAACAACCACATTATTTTAAGTCTGCCCCACCACAAAAACACAATTGCACTTGGTAAAGGGACTTATATAGAGCTATCAGTCACATTCACACACCGGCGGCAACTCTGGGTGGAGTCTTTTGCCCAGGGACACTTTGACTTGTGGCGTGGAGAAGTCGAGCATCAAACAACCAACATTGTGTTTAGGGAACGACCTGCTCTACCTCCTGAGCCACAACCACCCCTAAATTAGAACCGTTTATCAAATCCAAATTAATTGAGATGTACTAACTGACAGCTAATATTGTTATAATTCTCACACTATCACGATACATTGAATTTATTCATTTTAAAGCAGTCTTAGGTTTATTTACATTAGCATTTGTTTATAATTACACGAGTATGTAAATGCTGTAATATGAATATACTATAAATTTATCTGGTCAAAGACAATGTTTGAAGAAGGCAACTCAGCATCTTTGGGTACTGATTTCTATTTTTAAAAGAATAAAAGAAATCTAAGGGAAAATTGATTTTCAAGTGTCTTATCACACAAATTCTAAAATAAATGATCCATAGTTGGATCTGAAATTTAAGATATAAAATTTCAGTTTCAAAACAGAAGGTCTGACAAGGTCATACTTACTTACCTGGCAGCAGAAGATTTCAAAAATGTTATGACTTAAAGAAAAAACAACTAAGGCTCCGTGTTCTTTATCTGTCTGGGCTTTTCATCAGTGACACCTAGTTGTGAGTTTAAAAATGACCTGATATAGATGATATAAGCTGGAAACAGCGAGTCATCCTAAATCCATATATGATACACTGCTCTCGTCATTCTGCACTGAGCAACAAGCCAGTTTAGTATTAGCTAGAATGTAAAACCCAAGCTCATCATGACTCTAATGTTGGATATTTTAATAAGAACCTCCTCCCACAAGTTCTCTGAAGGAGTATGTCTAAATATTATAATTAGGTGTGGATTTCACCGGGCCAGGAGTGTGCATTTACTAAAGATTATGCCCGAGTTCAAGGAAGAAGTGATCATTTGAGCTAAACAAATTATTTTCCTGACCAATTTTGGACATAGTTTCACTGAGCCCAGTATCAATGTGGCATCATTACTATAAAGTAATCTGAAACATGTTGGATTCAATAAAATTAGTGCAGTAGACTTTAGCCTGCAGTAGATTATGTTTTATGTTGGTTGGAAACAGGCTGAATAAGGGTTTTACTTCCTGTCGGCCTATTTTACATAAGTATCAGTTAACAGGAAATAAATACTGGCCATTTTATGCTATGTTTAAACTATCACAGGCATTAAATTCAAATTCTTTTGCATAACGCAAGTCAATATGTTCAGGTCTGAATACCTAGATAGAAAACTGTGCTCAGCTGTGACAAAATAGAATAAAATGAAATGATACTATGCAGAACCAAAATATTGCACAATTGAATTTGTTTTGCAATGAACTTAACTGGAAGCCACTGTAATGAGCTTACTGTGACAAGAGTGGCAGAAGTCCTCTGATCAGCAGTTTGCATAGACATCCATGTTGCAATATATATCCTGTTGGAAGTCATAAGAATAGTTATAATATTTATGTATAAATGTTTGAGCAATAAAGGAAACAACAGAAACAATCAAACTGATATTATGGAGAAACAGAATAAGAAAAACAATGGCAACAGTAACAAAAAGCTATAAATCAAATTTGATTGTGTCAAGGTCTGTATTAGTTCCCAGTCTGATCCATATGTAGTTTTTTTCATTTGTTTTATTCTTAAAATGAGTGAAGGTCTGTTGTAAACCACTGCATATTCATCAGTCACATTCACTGCACCTGTATTTCCCCTTCTCTTCTGAGGGCTGTTGCATTATTTTTGTGCACTTGTGCTCAGGTTCTATGCATTTCTTCTACAAATTCATTGTCATAAACGCAGGAGAGTCTGTCCATTTCAGTGTTCTTCTCTGGCCTACACGGGCTTGATTGTTTGTCCTCATCATTTGACCTAAAGATCCGGAAGAGAGAGACAGAAAGAAGGAAATTCACAGCCAGCTCACTTCTTGAAACTTAGGCAGATTAGATTGTACAGATATGTGCAGCTGATATCTACAGTAAGATATGTAGGGTAATGTACGATATACAACAGACTATGGATTCAATTCACAAGTAATGGACAAGGTACATTAAGCTTATGGAACACTAGTGCAATGGGATGAGATGGAATGAAACAGTGCAGAATAAGAAGACAACAATAAGTTACATGAGTGAACAGTTCAATGAATGTAAATAGTGCAAAGATAAAGATAAATATACAGTAACTGTAGGTAACAGAAGTGTATTGCATTAGTCCTGGGATGAGAGATGAGAAGGGGTGAGGTGTGTGTAGTGGCATAGAAGAAGGAAGTGGGGGTCAATGGGGACAGAGTTCAGTAAGGAGACAGCTGTGGGGATGAAGCTGTTCCTGAGTCTACTGGTTTTGGTCCAGAGGCTCATGAAGCGCCTCCTAGAGGGCAGGAGGTCAAACAGTTTGTGAGCAGGGTGAGAGGAGTCCTTGAGAATGCTGCGAGCTCATCGAAGACAGTGTTCCCCGTGGACACCCTCATTGGCTGAAAATGGAGTCCCCGTGATGTGTTGGCCAGTTTTCACCACCCGTTGCAGCACCTTGCATTCGGAGACAGAGCGTTTTCCATACCAGACTGTGATACAGCTGGTCAGGATGCTCTTGATGGCACAGTGGTAGAGGTTCACCATGATGGCTGAAGACAGGTGGTTCTTCTTCAGTGTCCTCAGGAAGAAGAGGCGCTGGTGAGCCTTCTTAACCAGGCTGTGGGTGTTGGTGGTCCAGGACAGATCCTCTGAGATGTGGGTCCCAAGGAATTTAAAGCTAGAGACATGTTCAACATCTATCCTGTTAGTATGGATGGGATTGTGTGTGCCTCCTTTCTCCCTCCTGTAGTCCACAATAAGCTCCTTGGTCTTGTTGGTGTTAAGGAGCAGGTTATTGTCAGTGCACCACACAGCCAGGTGCCGTACCTCCTCCTCGTAGGCTGACTCACCATTGTTGCTGATGAGACCGATCACCGTGGTGTCATCTGCAAACTTGGTGATGGTGCTGGAGCCATGCACAGGCCTGCAGTCATGGGTGACAAGGGAGTAGAGGAATGGGCTCAGCACACAACCCTGTGGTACGCCGGTGTTGAGGATAATGGTGGAGCAGCAGGTGTTGTCTGACCTAACATGCTGAGGCTTGTTGGTCAGAAAGTCCAGAATCCAGTTGCAAAGGGAGATGCTGATGCTCAGGCCACCAATTACATCTTTAACTCAGCTTCTGCACATCAACATTTGGCCCTTTTTGACAAAACCTGACTTTTTCAGTTTCCTCAGTACACTCCCACTATAATATATACATAGAAATAAAGCAAAGTGTTTGTACAGAGATTGAGCACAAATTTTTTTTGTGGGTTTTTTTTTTTTTTGGAGGACTCTTGTATCTTTGCTGTTGTTGGATAGTGTCCAAAAAACTTTGTGGCCCTAATAGAAATATGCAAAATGTGCTTTGACTTCAGCAAATTAAAAGTTCATGTTTGTCTGCTATTCCAGTTTCATACACTGGAGGGATACAGTGTTGCGCACACACAGCCCAGTGGTTGTCTGTGGGCAGCTATAAAGACAATGAAAAGATTAAGCACCAGAACACAACCATAATCTATGACAAGGAGCAAAGTCTACCAACCTATTTGTGGAATATTTTCTGTAGATGAGCACTGCACATCCTAACACCAAACCAATTCCCAGGAGTATTAAAGCTGACAACCACATGGGAAAAGACTGTAAAAGGAAAATTGATTTATTAGTGAAACTGACACACACACACACACACACACACACACACACACACGAAAGCTGTTAATCACTCAGTCTAACTTACATAGTTCAGACAAGTTGCTTATAGACAGTTGCTTGGTGTCACTGCCTAGTGAGTTCCAGGCTGTGCAAGAAACATTAGTCTGGTTTTTAGGTGGGCCACTTATTATTCCAGAAACTACATTTTTCATATTTGTGGAGACAAAGGTGACGGAGGATGGAAGAGTGTCACTTCCATTAATGGTCCAGGATAAAGAGGCATTAGGGGAAGCCTCAGCCTGGCAGATGCACCTCAGAACCTCTGCTGTCTTATCTACTGGCTTATCTACAAAGATGCAACAGCTGTTAATTAGCTGCATTATTTAAGGGTGTTGTTTTATATGTTTTTGTATCAAAATATTTATCTTTATTTAGCCTACCTTAAAAATGTAAGTGTAGCACTTAAGTAAAAGTCTGCTATCTGGAGTTCTGGAACGTTCAATCATATCACAAGAACTTCCTCAGCAGCTGGAGTTTTGCATGACAAATGGGTGTTTGCTGATGAAAGTAGTGTGATCAGATCAAAAACTCCAACTTCAGCTACAGCACCACATGGGCCTTGTGTGCTGTAGCTGTAAGTTTCAGTTATGCTGATAGTGTTATGTACAGTAAGTAATGGTGCATCGTTTGTGCAGCTGCCACCTCCAAATTATAACAAATGGTTTTGAGTCTGGTATTTCTTAACTTCCCTTGTGGTGCTGATCAGTAGCCTGGAAATGATTACACTGAGCAAGTCTCTGGTGTGAATGTGTAACACGGTATTCCTGAACAAACTAAGTTTATATCAGTAAGATTTTATTACACTGAACATGCAGATCCAGCAAGTCGGACTGCTGCACTCCAAAGGCATTATAAGCGATGCAGGAAATAAAAGTATCTCGTGTAATACTGCTGAAGGACATTTTTTTCTCTGTTGAATTTATTTTGATGATTTCACCCTTGCATCTTCTGAGCCATGAGTACGTGTGAGGTTGTGGGTTACTATTGGCAGCACACTCGATGTTGATACTGCCACCCTCCATCACCGGCTTCCTTTCCAGTGTCAGGGTCACAGCCACGGGTTTATCTACAAGTATCATAACAGACAATTCATACAATAAAATGTTTCCCAGGGAATATATCAAAGAAGAAGATGTGTCATTTACTGGATGCTGAACAGGCAAATTGTAATACTGACATAAAACACTGAGTGTGATTTGCTGACTTTGCGCAGTGAAGATTCTGAACTGTGCAGAACACCTCATTTTGGAGTTATGCATTTCATATGTTGCTGTCCTCTGCAGTGTCTTTGTGTACAACCATTGGCCCTGACTTTCCTGACTGAAAGTCATTAAAGTGGAGTTTTCCAAAGTTTGACTCATGCTCCAAAGGAGAGATATATATATAGATACACCATCTAACAAATGATGATGATCAAATTATACAGGTCTGAAGCGGTCTAATAAATGTTCCCTTTTAGTTTGGTATAATCATGTAACTATGCATAAAATATTAAAAATATTATCTCATTGTATAAACTTTATTATATATAAAATGCTACTCAGTATCAGAAACAGATAAAACTCAGCATTACCAGTAAACAAACTTAGCAGTCTAAGCAGATAAGTTGTCCCCATGAAGATGAGCTGCTGCATGAATGTGTCTGTGTTGACCCACTGATCTGTTGCTGTGCTCCAGTCCACCACTTTATCGCTGCCTAATCCCCCGAAGCTCCTTCTGTTCCACTCAGTCTCAAACAGGAAACTTGTTGAGTTCATTTCCATCAGTCAGCCTGAATGATCAGAAAGCCTGAAACAGAAGATCTTTTACCTGCTTCTAAAATTTGCATACTAAACGCTCCAGCATTTGTTTCAAACACAGCCACAAGGATAAGATGTATTAAAAATATATCCAATAATTAAAAAGAGAATGATGGAAGTTATAGATCTTTTCTTAGTGCACATTTTAACATGAACAAAGCAACATTTATTTATATACAGTCCTATATTTCATTTTTAAGGAAGATTCAATGTGCTTCACGTTAAAATCAGAACAGTTAAAGGGAAAGATTATGTCAAAGTTGTGGTGATAAGACACTATATGGGAGTGTCTTCATGTGATATAACAGAGCAAGAAGACCTGCTGATTGAGCTCAACGTACGGATGTAGAATAATCCTAGAAACTAATATTAAGGGATATGTTATGTGAGTATAGAAGTGCACTGGAACAATGTACAAGTTCATTGACAAGTTATGTAGAATAAAATGTCCGGCTTCATAATTGAGGAGTCTATAGAAAAACTGGACAATAGATTCATTCTCAGCAATTTTCAGATGGCGCTGTCTTTTGGAAACAAACCACTCAAATCAACATTTCTAGCTTTCTATCTACCTTGCTGTATATATCTTCACGGTGTTTTTCTCTTGTTTTACTCCTCAGTCTACTGCATTGCCACTCGTGCTTCCATCATCCTATATCAGGCTTTTCTGGCATCATCGCTGCTCTTGAGAGATTCAACCGCTCATTCGCTGCAGGGGTCATGTTTGTTGTTTTCAAGTGAGTCGTGGATACCGTAACCAAACAATGCCATTGTAATTTAGCTTTGTACATCACATTCACCATGAATGATACATTATTTAGTGAATTTGCATATCATGTAAATCTTAGACAAGGTTTGCCTGTCTAAAGGAGTACATCAGATGTTAGTGTGTCACTCTGCCCACAGTGCAGAAAGTTTGTGTGTTCATAAAAATCATAAAATCATCACAAACATTTTCTAAAATTTTATTCAGTCATGTTTGAAGTTACTACTGCTTGTTATTCATGCTATATCAGCTTTACTGTCATGAAAATGCCCTCTACATTTTTTAAACTTACACATCAGTAAACTTTATAACCACCAGAAAAATAAAACATAAATAAATATAAAGAATGATGAAATGGGCATGGATCAGGTAACAACAACTATTAAAGCATTCTTTAAAAATGTACACTGTGATATAATGTCTGAAATATGGAAAAAACTCTGATGCTGGATATGTACATCCATACACAGTATTATGAAAACAGTGTTATTCTTAGCCAGAGCTGGTTACTTGTTGTATTTCTGTATCTTTGACTCTAAGCTTCCTGAAAATGGACTTTTCTCCAGTGCAGTGGAAGGTGGAGGAGGAAAAGTAGAAGATGATGGGATCAAGACAGGTGTTGAAGGTGCTGAGCAGCAAGACGTAGTACCTCCAGGATGGGCTTTTACCCTGGAAGTAGCCCACTACATGAGAGAGGTTGTATGGCACCACACAAATGAGAAACACAGCTAGTGTCCCTAAGGCCATGCCAATGGCCTTCTGCTTCAGCATACAGGATATCCTGGGGCGATTGTACAGGATCCAGATGCAGCGCAAATAGCAGTAAACACAAATTAGAAGAGGTACAAAGCAGAACACAAAAAAAGTCTCCAAACGTACTGGGAGGAGGACCTCCAACTGCTTGTCTGTGAAGTTCTCATAGCAAATACTGGAGTTTTGACTGGACAGGGATGGGTGGTGCTGGGTGATAACAATGATGCTGCATTGCGCTGCTGATATTAACCAGCTAATAGCAGAGATCACTATTGCATACACAGGTTTGTGCATCTGTTGATAGATGATTGGGAAAGCTACTCCAATGTAGCGAACCACACTGACTGCTGTCAGAAGTAGGGTGCTGGTGAAGATGCTGAAGAAGAAGGTAAAAGAGGTGATGGAGCATAAGATGTAGGGCAGATTCCATTTCATGCCCGATGCTGCTTCATGCATCTTGAAAGGAAGGATGCTCAAGAAGAGCAGGTCAGACACAGTCAGATTGAGGAGCAGGATGTTTATTGGCCGTGGCTTGGAATGGATCTTCATGCTAAAGGCGCAGAGAGCCAGGAGGTTCGCTGGCAGGCCTATCAGGAAGGAAATGATGTAAACTGACAGAATGACCTCACTGCTCACTGTTGACTCCATTAGACCCTAAACCAAAGGAAGTGAACAAACACCATCAAAATGTACTGTATGTAGTAAAACGTTTGTACCAGTGAAAATGATTTTTGACTTTTTCGATAAGTGAAGTCTGTATGCATGGCAAAGCCAAAATATGAAGCATGTAGCTTGTTTCTACTATCTAATAAACACAAAGCATAAGGAAATATAATTGAACAACCACATTATTTTAAGTCTGCCCCACCACAAAAACACAATTGCACTTGGTAAAGGGACTTATATAGAGCTATCAGTCACATTCACACACCGGCGGCAACTCTGGGTGGAGTCTTTTGCCCAGGGACACTTTGACTTGTGGCCTGGAGAAGTCGAGCATCAAACAACCAACATTGTGTTTAGGGAACGACCTGCTCTACCTCCTGAGCCACAACCACCCCTAAATTAGAACCGTTTATCAAATCCAAATTAATTGAGATGTACTAACTGACAGCTAATATTGTTATAATTCTCACTCTATCACCATACATTGAATTTATTCATTTTAAAGCAGTCTTAGGTTTATTTACATTAGCATTTGTTCATAATTACACGAGTATTTAAATGCTGTAATATGAATATTGTCACTGTTGGGCAGAAACCTTGTCTCCAAAATCACTACTTTTCAGGAAATGAAAAAACCCTTCCCATTAAAAAATTTGGAACTTGCTGTAAAATAATAAATTTGGAATTTTGCATATGCATAAAAAGTGTTTTGAGGTTTTGTCATAAAATGGTCTACAGTAAAATGAGCACAGTCACATTATATCATATGTTAAGGGTCTGACACATGGCTTTATAAATATAAAGAATGATGAAATGGGCATGGATCAGGTAACAACAACTATTAAAGCATTCTTTAAAAATGTACACTGTGATATAATGTCTGAAATATGGAAAAAACTCTGATGCTGGATATGTACATCCATACGCAGTATTATGAAAACAGTGTTATTCTTAGCCAGAACTGTTTACTTGTTGTATTTCTGTATCTTTGACTCTAAGCTTCCTGAAAATGGACTTTTCTCCAGTGCAGTGGAAGGTGGAGGAGGAAAAGTAGAAGATGATGGGATCAAGACAGGTGTTGAAGGTGCTGAGCAGCAAGACGTAGTACCTCCAGGATGGGCTTTTACCCTGGAAGTAGCCCACTACATGAGAGAGGTTGTATGGCACCACACAAATGAGAAACACAGCTAGTGTCCCTAAGGCCATGCCAATGGCCTTCTGCTTCAGCATACAGGATATCCTGGGGCGATTGTACAGGATCCAGATGCAGCGCAAATAGCAGTAAACACAAATTAGAAGAGGTACAAAGCAGAACACAAAAAAAGTCTCCAAACGTACTGGGAGGAGGACCTCCAACTGCTTGTCTGTGAAGTTCTCATAGCAAATACTGGAGTTTTGACTGGACAGGGATGGGTGGTGCTGGGTGATAACAATGATGCTGCATTGCGCTGCTGATATTAACCAGCTAATAGCAGAGATCACTATTGCATACACAGGTTTGTGCATCTGTTGATAGATGATTGGGAAAGCTACTCCAATGTAGCGAACCACACTGACTGCTGTCAGAAGTAGGGTGCTGGTGAAGATGCTGAAGAAGAAGGTAAAAGAGGTGATGGAGCATAAGATGTAGGGCAGATTCCATTTCATGCCCGATGCTGCTTCATGCATCTTGAAAGGAAGGATGCTCAAGAAGAGCAGGTCAGACACAGTCAGATTGAGGAGCAGGATGTTTATTGGCCGTGGCTTGGAATGGATCTTCATGCTAAAGGCGCAGAGAGCCAGGAGGTTCGCTGGCAGGCCTATCAGGAAGGAAATGATGTAAACTGACAGAATGACCTCACTGCTCACTGTTGACTCCATTAGACCCTAAACCAAAGGAAGTGAACAAACACCATCAAAATGTACTGTATGTAGTAAAACGTTTGTACCAGTGAAAATGATTTTTGACTTTTTCGATAAGTGAAGTCTGTATGCATGGCAAAGCCAAAATATGAAGCATGTAGCTTGTTTCTACTATCTAATAAACACAAAGCATAAGGAAATATAATTGAACAACCACATTATTTTAAGTCTGCCCCACCACAAAAACACAATTGCACTTGGTAAAGGGACTTATATAGAGCTATCAGTCACATTCACACACCGGCGGCAACTCTGGGTGGAGTCTTTTGCCCAGGGACACTTTGACTTGTGGCGTGGAGAAGTCGAGCATCAAACAACCAACATTGTGTTTAGGGAACGACCTGCTCTACCTCCTGAGCCACAACCACCCCTAAATTAGAACCGTTTATCAAATCCAAATTAATTGAGATGTACTAACTGACAGCTAATATTGTTATAATTCTCACACTATCACGATACATTGAATTTATTCATTTTAAAGCAGTCTTAGGTTTATTTACATTAGCATTTGTTTATAATTACACGAGTATGTAAATGCTGTAATATGAATATACTATAAATTTATCTGGTCAAAGACAATGTTTGAAGAAGGCAACTCAGCATCTTTGGGTACTGATTTCTATTTTTAAAAGAATAAAAGAAATCTAAGGGAAAATTGATTTTCAAGTGTCTTATCACACAAATTCTAAAATAAATGATCCATAGTTGGATCTGAAATTTAAGATATAAAATTTCAGTTTCAAAACAGAAGGTCTGACAAGGTCATACTTACTTACCTGGCAGCAGAAGATTTCAAAAATGTTATGACTTAAAGAAAAAACAACTAAGGCTCCGTGTTCTTTATCTGTCTGGGCTTTTCATCAGTGACACCTAGTTGTGAGTTTAAAAATGACCTGATATAGATGATATAAGCTGGAAACAGCGAGTCATCCTAAATCCATATATGATACACTGCTCTCGTCATTCTGCACTGAGCAACAAGCCAGTTTAGTATTAGCTAGAATGTAAAACCCAAGCTCATCATGACTCTAATGTTGGATATTTTAATAAGAACCTCCTCCCACAAGTTCTCTGAAGGAGTATGTCTAAATATTATAATTAGGTGTGGATTTCACCGGGCCAGGAGTGTGCATTTACTAAAGATTATGCCCGAGTTCAAGGAAGAAGTGATCATTTGAGCTAAACAAATTATTTTCCTGACCAATTTTGGACATAGTTTCACTGAGCCCAGTATCAATGTGGCATCATTACTATAAAGTAATCTGAAACATGTTGGATTCAATAAAATTAGTGCAGTAGACTTTAGCCTGCAGTAGATTATGTTTTATGTTGGTTGGAAACAGGCTGAATAAGGGTTTTACTTCCTGTCGGCCTATTTTACATAAGTATCAGTTAACAGGAAATAAATACTGGCCATTTTATGATATGTTTAAACTATCACAGGCATTAAATTCAAATTCTTTCTCAAAGTTTGACTCATGCTCCAAAGGAGAGATGGAGGTGAGGAAGGGCAGGAGGACTTTACACTGCAGTTGGCCTGGAAAATCTCCCCAGCAACTATTTGCCTCTGAATGGAGATTATGGGAGCTGTCATCTCTGGAAATCAAGAGAAAGTGATGACAAAGAAAAGCAAAAAATCTGCTTTCATTTGTAAATATTTGTATAATAGTTTTTTTCTGAATTACTAAAACACTAAATCCCATTTTCAGAACAAAACTGTCAACTACCAAAACTCATTTATCAAATGAATCATTGTGCAAAATAATAGTCACCTAGTTAGACATAGTTTAAATCAGGCCTGATTCTAACTTTTTGAAAAAGTCTAAACATTCTCACTCACATATTTTGCATTGTGATGCCCTTTTAATGCATAATGATAACCACAGGTGGCAGAAGTTAAACAGCTGTCATAGCGTGTGCACTATGACCCAGAACTGTTCACCCTTATTTCTAAAGATGTGATAGAACCAAAATAAACTCTGAACTCAGAGTGCACAGGCGGCACAAGTGAGTTTAAAGTCAATACCAAAAATGGATAGAAACAATCTGAGAGGCAGAGGAGGAAGACTGCATGTGAGAGGTGGTGTGCAAGGAGGAAGAGGTTAGGGAGAATGTAGCCTGAGATGTGAATGAGTCCTCTGGGCTGACCCAGCACAAAGCTTTCACATTGTGATTTGCAAATTGAATCGCTTCTGAAAATGGTTTTGTGCGCTTTCAAAACTTTTGCCATCTAGAAACTCTCACAGAAAACCCAGTGAAAAAATCTGAGAGCACGCACTCGGTAATGAGCGTGCACATAGCTGGGATTATACTCTCAAATCTGATTCTGCATTTAAAATCATACGACGACACGCTTTCAAATACTGAGTTGCAAAGAGAGCAACGCTCAACATGTGGCTTGTGCACCCTCACACATTTTGGCTGTGATATGCTTCCATAGTTGCAGTTCAAATAAAAAATTATGATTAACTTGAAGGAGCAAGCATAGCCTATGTCTGTACCTCACTATCCTAACTGTGTCCCATTACCTTGGCAAAAAGTTTAGAGGTGCTGCAAATGGCCTTAGCAAATGAATGGTGCAGAAAATGATATAGAATAGCTTATTTTTCTGAAGTAAGATAGTGGCAGTGGCACACACATGTAATCTTTGCTCCATTTACACTACTCTACTAGCTTCTAGCATTGTTACGTGCAGTGTTTTTTTTCTTCTATACAGTATGAATTTCCCACTCAGGCCCTTGAATAAATGCTCAACTTGTACAGTCAGATTTACCCTGAAAAATGATTTTCTTTCTTTAATTGCACATGCTGATTTCTAAATTGAATTTAAGTTTGTAAATACTTACTTACCAACAAAGATAGTTACAGTTTGATGATGGAATTTTGCAGTAACTGTTGTGGGTACAGTGATGCTCCAGCTTCTCGCCTGCTGGAGAGCTGAGATGGCGAGAGGAGCGGAGAGAGAAGGAGAAGGAGAGCAGTATAAGTGAAGACAGCAAGTGCTAGTTATGATTGTTCTATTTAGCTGTGGTAATGAGTGAGAAAATAAAATATGTGATATAAATCTTGAAACTAAGGGTGAGAGATGTGAAACTATAAACCACAAAACTACTGTACTATTCAGAGCCATTTCCCTTACCAAGAATAAACAATACACAACAATGACTTCTTAGAAGTTAATCTACTGAATCACACTTCTTACATATAGATACACCATCTAACAAATGATGATGATCAAATTATACAGGTCTGAAGCGGTCTAATAAATGTTCCCTTATAGTTTGGTATAATCATGTAACTATGCATAAAATATTAAAAATATTATCTCATTGTATAAACTTTATTATCCTCTAGAGTCCCTGCGTCCTCATATGAGGACCGCACAGCTTGGGTTTCCAAAGCTCAGGACTCTAGAGGTTAAATATAAAATGCTACTCAGTATCAGAAACAGATAAAACTCAGCATTACCAGTAAACAAGCTTAGCAGTCTAAGCAGATAAGTTGTGTTGTAAGCAGTATATTTTGTCAAGGCTGTTATTCAGTAAATGAAAGAGGGTGATGCAACGCATAAAGGGGTCTGATTATTTTAACAGAACTGATACAGGAGTGTGGATAAACACTGGAACATCAGGCAGTCATTTTCACTTATCTTTGTGAAGATACTAAACTATATGTGTAAAGTGTGGCTACAGAAAATCCACCAAGAATTTGAAGCATTTCATACAAGATACCATGGTTTATTTTTGTGTCACTGTTGAAGCAGTTTGTCAGTTTGTTTGTTTTTTTTTTTGATTGAGAGACATTTACTGTAAAATATTTGAAATAAATTCAGGAACCAGGAGTATCTACGTTCACTTTTTTTAATGTCAGTGAGAGCAGGCATTGCACAGAGCAGTGAATGCATTAGTTGAATAGTTTTTAGCTGCATATGTATTTCAGCTCTTCAGGCTTTTTAATTACAGGTGAACTCCTATTTTATAATACAGTAAGAAACAACAAACGTTTACCAACTGTGCTCCAATGCTATTAGCTGCATGGTTCATGTCTTTTCTTAATAAAATTACAACAAATGACTTGTCGGGAGTATAGTTGTGTTAATGGTTTCTGTGTATCCCTGTTGCTTTTTATTCCTGTTCCATTTCTTTTTTAGATTTATATAGTATGAGCTTCCACGTTGCTATTGTACTAAATGGTTAGAAACAGCATTGTAAAGGGACCCCCAGTGAGTTGATATTATACCTTTGTAAATATTGCAGTACTTTTGAGTCTTTAAGGAGAAAACATAAACAATGGAAAAACAAAGCTTTTAAACCAAAAATGTATATGAAAGATTGAGTGGTAAGTGTCATTACATTTGAATTCACATCCTGCACTTACTCACCAAGGTATAGTAAAAAAAAAAAACATCACAGCTGAATGACACAGATAAAGTTAAACCTTTCATTACAGGGTTGCGCTCATTCGCTGCAGGGGTCATGTTTGTTGTTTTCAAGTGAGTCGTGGATACCGTAACCAAACAATGCCATTGTAATTTAGCTTTGTACATCACATTCACCATGAATGATACATTATTTAGTGAATTTGCATATCATGTAAATCTTAGACAAGGTTTGCCTGTCTAAAGGAGTACATCAGATGTTAGTGTGTCACTCTGCCCACAGTGCAGAAAGTTTGTGTGTTCATAAAAATCATAAAATCATCACAAACATTTTCTAAAATTTTATTTAGTCATGTTTGAAGTTACTACTGCTTGTTATTCATGCTATATCAGCTTTACTGTCATGAAAATGCCCTCTACATTTTTTAAACTTACACATCAGTAAACTTTATAACCACCAGAAAAATAAAACATAAATAAATATAAAGAATGATGAAATGGGCATGGATCAGGTAACAACAACTATTAAAGCATTCTTTAAAAATGTACACTGTGATATAATGTCTGAAATATGGAAAAAACTCTGATGCTGGATATGTACATCCATACACAGTATTATGAAAACAGTGTTATTCTTAGCCAGAGCTGGTTACTTGTTGTATTTCTGTATCTTTGACTCTAAGCTTCCTGAAAATGGACTTTTCTCCAGTGCAGTGGAAGGTGGAGGAGGAAAAGTAGAAGATGATG